TGGTATTGCATTTATGTCTAAATAATGGGCTTGCCACTGGGGTCTCTCATTGGCTTCTGTGGGCACAGTAAGCGGGACTAGGTAGGTCTCTGGTCATCTCTGTCAGGGCTCTTCTTATGGGCTTATGTTCTTACTTTAAGCAGGCTTGATATTAAGAGCGTGTGGGCTGTGGCATCTTTGGAAATGCGGCCAGCTAAAAATTGCATCTGGCAGAAGCTGGGACCCTCAGGACAGCAGAAAGGACAAGTTTTAATTGGCAGCGTTTGCATTATGGGAGGAAGAGGATACCAGATGACACTGCCTTGCCAGGGAAAAAGTCAGCATGGATCATCAGGAAATCATAAAAGCAAAAAAAAAAAAATGGACGGGGGGGGGGAACCTGGTACCTCAAAAGAGTGAAAACTAATTTGGGGGAAGCAGAAACTTATAGGTTCAGTCTCCTTTCTCCAAAATCTGAAATCTTTCAGAACTCAGAATTGTCCCACATGGATGGCTGAGATAGTGACACCTTTGTTTTCTGATGGTTCGGTGTCCACAAACTTTGTTTCATGCACAAAATTATTAAAAATATTATGTATGAAATTACTTTCAGGTTATGTTTATAAGGTATATACGAAATGTGATGGTTTGAATGCTGAGCTAGGATGGTGGGAGATGAGGCTTCACATCCCTCCAGTTGGCCATGGAAACCTACCGGGTGACTTAGCCCAGGGAAGAGAAGATAGAAGAGAGTACCAAGTCTAATGGTTTCAAGTTACAGGAGAATAGATTTCAGTTGAACATTAGAAGGAACATCTTGAAAGTAAGATCAGTTTGGCAGTGGAACCAATTTCCAAGAGAGGTGGTAGAGTCTCTTTCTTTGGATGCCTTCCAAAAGATGCTGGACAGCTCCCTTCTGGGGTTGATTTAGCTGGAAATCTTGCAATGAGCAGAGGTTTGGACCCACTAAGCCCTTGCCAACTATGTGATTGTGTGTATGATATGTTGGCTGTAGTTGGTTTTTCACCTTTAGTCCCTTAGGAATGTTATCTTGCTGTTTGCATTTATTCAGAAAGGCAATGTCCTTTCTGTACCTGTAGCATTCACTTGAAGAGACTGATAGAGAGAATTTCTCCAGGGAAAGAAAAACACCTACAAGGTGCCATTTGCTTCTCAAAAGAAAAACAAAGGGACTACATTGGCCCTCTGCATTTGCTAGGGTTATGGACACAGGGTCCCCATGAAAGTGGAAAAACTGCAAATAAAAAAGCACTTTTTTGTTTTTTACCAGAGAGAACATCTCTCTAGGAATCTCTAAGTCCCCTGTCACAACTTATAGTTAACATCCACCAGACATCGATCAGAGAATTGTGCTGGAAGACATAAAAATACCTAGAAAAGTGCTTTCTGTAGGAATCTCTTGGTCCTCCAGTACAATTTTATATCCACCAGAAGTTGACCACAGAATTGTGCTGGAGGACCTACGAATTAGGTCCTCCAATGCAACATCTGGAGTCCATTGAGTTGTGCTGGAGGACCTAGAAATTCCTAGAGGGAACATACTAACCAAACCTGCAAATAATCAAACTAGCAAAAAGTCAAATCTGCAAATGTGGAGGACCAACTCTGTCTCTTTTTCTACATGCCTCAGTGGCCCAGAGCAGAAGCATCCTTGTGCTCCCTCTGACTTCCTTAGCCTTCTCTTCCCCTCCCCTTCCAGCAAGGATATCTGTTTGGCCCTCCTGACAGAGCAGATGGTTTTCTATTGTTCTCTCAGCACCTCAGTCTTCCTCTGTCCTTGTCTGCATTAAAACCCAACTACACAGTGGTGTGTGTGCAAACCATCTGTCTCCTCCTTTGCT